TTATTTCAGATAATGTCCGGTATTAATCTTAACAGCTACCGTAGTGTTGAAGTAATATTCTGGAAGCCCTCTGCGCCTACTGCCATCTTCGTTGTCACCTTTATTAAGGTTTGGGCAAATGCCCTAATTATAATTCGTTGCTCAACGGCGTTAATCAAGCAGTCGTTCCACAAAGGACCTCAGCGCAGAATGGAGTTCCGTCACGATCATAGCCAAAAAATCCTTAAAGTAATCACGTGAAGTGACAAAGGAAAGTTTATAACGGTTGTCTACCCTACGTTTACACGATCAGCTAAATTCTAGCACCTTTATTGCCATGAAGTTAATGGTGGGGGCGCTGATCACAATTTCCATGTAAATAGCCAGAAGTATCTTCTTTGTTTTAAAGACAGAATCGAGAACAGCTGCGACAAGCGTAACATGCATTCTTCTGTTTCCTTCCCATGTGATACTCGTTTACAAACCTCGGAAAGAATAAATGCGAATGACCCAGACCAAGGCTCGAACCCAGGACTTTTCAGTTCTTAGTCCGACGTTCTATTGAGCGAGCAACCCCGATCTGAGGCGACGTGTGCTAAATTCCTTGCTAACGGGAAATCTTGGTGAAAACGAAGACAGCATGCCGGTGGAAGCGAATCTGAACCTTCAGAGTTCGAGTTCACGCACCGCCATTACGCATTATTCCACCATGCGGCGGACTGAAAACAGCACCAGTGACGACCAGCTACATACAAGGAGATCACAAACATAAATGCACGTTCATGAGAAACAGATCCAAACGTTAACGGTAGCTTTTATTCGACAATAGTCACTTTGCGTCGCAAAAATTAAACCTTACATTGCTGCATGTACAACAAGACCGTATTCACCGCCAAAGCATTTAAAATAGAAATTTATACGTTTTAGACTTCCTTAATACCTGAAGAGTGCGCCATAACTCAACGGTCAAAGCAAGAGATTAAGTATTAAATCGAAGTAGGATGGAACAAACTCTCTTACATCATGCGGTAAATGACAGGGCCTGTCATTAATCTAGATACAGTCGGTCAAATCAGTACTGTCAGACAGTTTGCACATCTATATTAACAAATGCATGTGATTACAACCTTGCATTTCTTCTGTAATTGTTTCTGCGTGTCATAGCGATCGATCATAGAAGTGCGGACAGTCATCGACCAAACGAAATGGCTGAAGAACTTTTGACTGAATCACATACAATAAATAGTTCAGCGTTTAAAACTTCAACCAGAGGGGGGTTCACAGAACAAACACTGTATGCCAAAACTTAAATGCATGCAATTTCAATTCAATCGATTCACTAACTGCTTGCCAACCCATTCATTTCTTCGATTAGTTGTATTTAAATTTTGTTTCTTCCTCAGGACATTTCGTACCAGTTGACTTTGTTCATGAAAAAAATTTTAAAAGAAAACGCAGTGAAAATCAACTAGCTAACTGATTAAATATGAACTGAAAGCAAGCCGTCTGCTGCACCAACAGCATGCAATCATATACATAGTTAAAAGGTACCTAGATACAATAGGAAGAGGTTTTTCGCATATAAAAATATCAAGTCTCAGTAAACATACATGTTTTTGAATGACAAGGTTTTTGACGCCTTCCATTATGAACTGAGAGCTTTGGCTGAGCAGTTTCGAAAACATACTAACAGTTCGGGTGCCCCCGCCGCCATACTGTTCCGCTGAAGTTTTAGTGAAGCGCCTAAAAATGCAATTTATTATGCACTGCTTCACAACGATATTCAGTTAACTAACTTCCATCTTCTAACGAATTTAACTGCTGAAGTATCGCAACCTGCAGTTTCAAGGGCAGATAAAACGTCTTCCATTTCGCTCTGTAAGCAAACAGCATTAATTAAGCCACCAAATAATTATAATCTTGGCGCAAGCTTATTAATCAAAATGCAATCACCGGCGAAGGATAATACATGAGCAAGAGAATCATACGATCGACTGCAGTGCTAAGGAAATTTCAAAACCCGTCTCCCACTAAAACAAAGTTTCTCCAAAATACTAAAGCTTCGGCTTTGGTTATGGTGATTTTCATTCTGGCTTCATAATATGTAGTTGCGAACCAAAGTACTTGCTAGAAGCGATTGTCGCGGAATACTCAAATAACAGGTGGTTCGGGTCGAATATTTCCAAAAGTCATGAACTGCACAGAATGCAGCGAAGCAATGGCAGAAACCGTCATCATGATCACATAAGCTATCGACTTGCCGCTGACAGCCTAAGATGGACGGAGGCATCTGAGTAGTCGCACAGGATTTGATGGCTCCGAATAAGCATTCATTCAATTCATATAATTCCAAAATTCCCACTGCCTTGATCGTCACATCTTTAAGGGGTCAATGAAGCAAGCGTGAATATTTTTAGCGTATTCCTACGCTTTTCAGAGAATATGATTTAGTGTTCCGCAGAAAGGAGGGTAGTAACGTCAATACTTCTACAACTTCGCTCCAGTAAATTTCCAGACACTTTATGTGGGCTACATTAGAGGTTAAGCAGCGAGATGTTTCGTGGCTGCAACAACGGCCGTGATTCAAATTTTTAAACAAGGAAGTAGTGAGGTCCGCTGCAGCCGGCTAGAGCAGCGGACTGTTTAACATGCTGCTATAGCGTACTGCAAGTATGACCTACTGCAGCTTGAAATATGAAAGTATGAATAAAAAAGCAGTGAATTAAGAGTACCACTGCTTCAGTGCCGCTTCAAAGTCACATAAAATCCAGCACACATCGCCATCGCAATTTAAGGCATGTAGTACGTCAGATCGCATTTCAATCGTGCAACAACCTTTAACATCTGCCCGATCAATCGTTTAACAAACAAATAGGATTTACTGCACACCACTGTTAATCAAGAATATGGACGCTGACATGCAAAACTGGACTGCAGTTCCTTTCTAGCCTTTTGACAAAACACTGTAAAGTCCATCCACAGTCTCCCTACCAACGGATTTTTACAGTCACTTATTGTTAAATAAACTGACCAATGGTAGAGAAGAATTATTTTTAAAAGTGCTAAAGCTCGGCAACTAATCATAGCTCACCTTGACGTCCGTTTCAGATACAATGCTATGCTATGCAGCATATATATTACCTTCCAGGGTGGTAATCCACTCATTCCTAATTGTTTTTCAGTCCAGAGTGATATGTGGTTTCCAGAGCAGTGCCTACCCCTAAACCACAGTAAAAGAAAAAGCCCTGGAAGAAACTAAAACACTAGGCGGCAGTGAGAATAAATAGGTTTAGGGGCAGGCTTAGTAATATTCTAGTAAAAGCGCAGTAATATCGCAATCAGCCTATACTGGCATTGACTGAATTACGAATTTGCTTCGGCATGGATGGATCACCACTCTGGACAGTAGCATGTATACATTAAGCAAAAATCAAGGCAAAATTCTGAAGCAATAGTAATCAAAAACAATTACTTCCGACTGATCACCGATTATATACTGTATCAGAAAGATGCGGAGCTTGTCTTCAGCAGATCCGCATTCTGGGTCAAGTATCAAATCGATCAAAAGACGATTCGGAATCTGGCGATTCATTATCTTCTCTTCTTCTTCGAAAAAAGCATCTAGCTTCCTCTCCTACACATACAAATACAAATGAAAAGATGGTAAAACGAAGTGAATCACTTTTATGAGTTGAAGAACAGCCGTGGCCAGATTGGTATGAACATCAATCAGACGCTTTTTTTCGAGAAGCTCGGGAAGCGAGCTGACAGTTGAAGTAAGCTGAGCAGTCGCGTCGGTCAAATACGATATTGCCTCATCGCTGCCTGTGTCATCTAAACCCTAAGCGGGGCAAAGTATGTGATACTAAATTTGCAACATAAGCTAGGTGGCGGCTAACCATAGCTTGCTTAAGTCTTCGTATTTCCTCTTCTCGATTACGGTATGTTTCAAGCTCTTCTTGAATAGCCTCGGCAACAGCAGGAAATGGACTAAACAAACGAATACGTATCAACTAAAAAAATTCTATGGCAAAGGTTGCTGAAAAATCGTTCCTGAAAAATTAAACAACAGTTAAAGAAAAGAAGTTGCAGAAGGGAAACGGAGTAATAAATTGGAAAAAAAGGGAGGAAGGGGTAAAATCATGAATGAAGAAAATGTATCATTCATCGCGTGATTAAACTTTATGGTCTGCTGTTTCGCTATCGTTTTTCGTTAAACTGGCGCAATGAGGCCACCATTCTTTTCCACACGACTCTGTTCAAGTCTTCTATGAAAGTTGTGCAATTACTCTACGTCGCCATAACGAATTCCAATTTATCACACAACTGCTCCACCATTTCATCTCCAGCTTCATTGGTGAACTGTTAGCTTCAATTACTTTCACTGTTCTTCTATCATTTATCTGTAGAGCTGCTATACGAGATGATATGGTATCACAGCTCAGTACAAATGTTCAGTCCTCCTTTTTGCCACTGCCCCCCAACGCCGCCTCTCCAACGTCAATTCTCAAAAGCCCTCAAGAGGAACACTTGGTCACTACTGTTCCACTTCGCAACAAGTTAGACAGATCTTCGGGTCTCGCATATTCCACTGACGTACGCCTTGTTCTTCTCTGTTTCCTTCATGTATAGGTCGATAAATGCGTCTGTTGATAACGTTCTTGCAATGTTGTTGGAAATGGAGCGATGGTGTTTCCGGTTCGTTTATCAGTCGCATCCAGCGGTTTTCCGAGTGAACGCGTTATTTAGAACGACGAGTTAACCTGAACCGATTTTTCCGGTTTCAGTTTTTTTCTGAACTGCTCTTGGGTGAGTAATTGTTCAGCATTTCATTAACGGTGCCAACATTCAAGAACTGCTGCTGAAATCTCTTCAACCTTCATCCAGCGTAACGGATTCAGAGAAGTGGAGCACCTTGTGAGGTTTCGGTATCAGACAGATATCATTGGTGAAGAGCGGGAAGCACCACTCACTTCCTCAAAGCAGTGGTAGTCAAAATAAGAAATGACAACGAGATAGTCATCAGCAAATGCAAAAAAAGCAAAAAAGGTGAAAGATGGCATCTCTTCGCTACTTTTGCTAAAAGCAACCATATTCACGCAATGAATAACGTTTTCAAAAAGGCTTAAGGCGTCAGTGGACAGACGGAAAGTCTCTGAATCAAATGCCGAACAAGAAATGAATAATATCAGATATATCGCTGAAAAACGAAAACGTAATCTGCACAAGGTAAGACCACGAGAATTTGTGTCACAGTTACGATCGATGTCGCAAAAGAAAAACGGATCCAAAGATCACCGCTTTATGAAGAACTCGTATCCAATTCGGGGGCATTCGCTGAAAAGCTCCAAGTAACGAACATTAAAATAAACATCAACGAAGACAGACGTCCGGAATATGAGTTTTATCAATGCCATCGTGAATGTCGTTAAAACATCAAGCCGGACATCAGACTGAATGAGAATCGAAAGCTTCAGCCATTTAACAAGACAGCTAATAGTTAACATGCCCAACCCCGGACTGTTCGATGCACTGTTTAAAGAGAAGCTGAAGAAAATGATGGGAAGCTGTAAAAATTACAATACGATTCGATTAAGAGAAGCCACAGAGCGGGAAAAAAAGCCGGAAAGATGTGGAACAGGACATCTGCCTAAAACGACGTTATGTGAGTGCGGTTGAAGACGATGGAGGGGCAAAAACTACTACTCGCAATAATTTAGATGCCATTAAAACTTACCAGACGTGTTAATCAGGTAAACAAAGACGCTAGAATTATGGATGACATCAAGAAAAATTCTTTCTATATAGAAAGACGACTCTAGATTCCTCAAAAAGTACCGATCATTCACATTTCTGTCGCAAATCTACAAAATCTTCGCCATCATCCCTTTCAACCGTATTCCAAAAGATGCGAATTAGTCATAAGCAGGGAATAAACCGATTTTTGAACATGGTTTTATACCATCACTCATATACATATCATCCAGCACCTGACGGAGATGTGCAACTAATATAAAGTGTCAACGTTCTGCTATCACCTACTATGAGCAAGCGTTCAATTCGGTAGAACTGACAGCAGCGATATGCGCCTTGCATGAATATGGCATAAACCTTGTCTATGTGGATTTAAACGAGGAATTAAACACCGGCTGCACGACAGACATGAAGCTGTTTAGTGTACCATATCGTATTACCATTCAACTCCAATGAAGAGTTCACCACGGAAACATCATTTCACTAACGCCTCTCGCCGTTGCGTCGAAGTCACTTTCAAACGGTTAAACTGGTGCAGCAGCATTAACGCCGATGACAACAGCTAATACAAGTTACTTGCGGATGACAGCCTAGTCTATGCAAAAGACGTAATGGTGCTACAACAGAAGATCAAACCAATGCAAGAAGAATCTGTTACCACCGAAATGGAGGTTAACCTGTTCAGAACGAAATGGATGTGAAACGAGCACTGATTCGAGGGCTTTGCATACGCAAACGGTGAAGAACTCGAAGAGGTTACCTGCCATATACCATCCGCCGTTAGATGGACCACATGAATGAGTTAGAACAGAAAATCACAAGCAGGAAGAAGGCAGGGGCCAGCTTTAATGGCAGTAATTTAGCATCATTACTCAACAATGGACTGCCCATGATTTCGAAGAACTGTCCATTTCAACCGTCATTTACGCCATGATCAACGGCCATAGATCTTGGTCTGCTACAAAAGCCGAGGAGAATGAATGAGAGTCAAAAAAGGGCGACGGAGCGAAAAAGTGTGAGGTGCCCTTTCGGGATCACGTTTTG